TACTTGCCGTGTTCACTTTGTATTTTTGCTATTAAGATTCCCATGACATAATGTCATCATGCTGAGGAGAGAACACTTGTACTCAGGCTAACCAGGTGCCTTACTAAACACGCAGTAGGATTCTACCACAATCTTTAGCTTGGTTGTTGCTTTTTGGTAGACAAAATTCATGACCATTGTTTGTGGATACTAGGACTTTCGCTTAAACTAAATAAACCGCTAGAATTGATCAACGAAGTGTCAGAGTATAAATCAAATGGTCAGAGGTGTCGCTTACTCACAATTTTTCTTTTTAAATTCTTCTGATATATCTGAATTACTTTTACATATCGGTAGTGAATAGGCAGAGGCTAGGTAATTCCCTTTTGTCTTGCTAGCTTTAACCTCAGGGATCCGAGCAAAGGCATAAATCGGCGTGCGCAATGTCAGGCTGCAGATGGTAAATGCAGGCGGATCTCTTTCATTAGTCTGTCGGGTCTGATCGTCGAAAGTGGTCCAGATGCCATCACCTGGAAGAATTATTCTTACCGTTCCTGTTTGCGAGGTCAGTGACTATCTACGGTAGTTTAACGGTCTCACTGCTACCCGACAATGTCGATTCATAATTTGTTGTATTCTAATGGCCCAATCTATTATTTATACCTGTACTATGGCACTAAATTTTTCTACTCATACAGTTTGGTAATCCACTGACACTTGAGGAATTGCTTTTATGATTTTGATGATAAGCGAACGAACACATTGCTTAGCCTTCAAATAACCCACTGCTTTAAACCGCTCTGTCCACTTTTTGTGGGGCACATCAAAGACGTGACTGCTCAGCTACTGAAGGCTAATTAGTATTTACTGACGAGGCCAGCATACAGGTCCTATTCTTTCGGGGCGCAGAAGGTGCCATAGCACACAAAGCAAATTACATGGTAGTGGTATGAACTGCTCAGTAGTTGTACGAGACCGAGGAAAAGCCCCACATCGTCATTCTCATCCCTGCTCCCATTCTCCCTCATCCATTGATGCTAGTGTCCAGTTCTCCATATTTATAGGCCTCACTGTTCATCCTTAGCTGTTACAATAGATTTCATGCTAAGTATAGGCGGTGGATAAGAAAATAATGCGATATGAAACCATTTTTGGAAAGTGTTTGCATCAGTTTTGTCATGAAAACCGCGATATTAGCGTTAACTTCTCCGTTTGACCAGCTAACACTATCCCATTGACCAATGACAGCATCGCGTCTCACCTCGGCATCTCACTGCAAGACTGCACATACTGGTGCGATAGATGGCGACCTTCATTTGATGATTTTGCTACCACTATTCCTGGCAATGTACCTGTTAGCGCATCCGGCGCCCACGGAACAGAAGATCAAATCCACCGCCTTCAAAGTGTGGTCTTTGGTAAAACGAAATCGAAAATCAGTGATGTGATGAAACTCCTTGCTAAGGTACGTGTTCTCACCACATGAGTTTGTTAGGTGTCTGTAGATCTTCACTAGATATGAAGGTGCATTCATCAAAAGAGATAAGGAATAAAATGAATGAAGCCATTCACATAGTCCTGGCTGCCATTAACTCTGCTTCGCCGTAAGTAAACATCTGTGTCTGAATGTATAATTCTTGTTTTTACATGGACCGCGTATTACCTTGTGG